CTCTGCCTACAAGGGCCCCTGACCCTATAGGGCCTCTGATGGAAACATGGAGGGAGGGCGTTTGGCTGCCAAAGGCCCTTGAATTGTGGTGGTTGTGGTGGTGGTGGTGGTGGTGGTGGGGGGGGGGCCCTCGCGAACGTTTTGCCCAGGGGCCCACACAACCCAAAATCCGTCCCTGGTAGTAAGAACAACAAAAATGTTGTACATACAGGAGAAGACTGAGGTTTATGAACTAAGCAAGTATATGGGAGTGATTTAGCTTTATAATCTCACCTAAACCCATGATTATGACTCTTTGAAACAGCGATTTGTGGACAGGGTAACCTTACAGTGCCACCCGCTTACTCTGGTCAGATAGTCACAGCATCTGTGGTCTGGTTTGGACGAAGAACAGCTACTATGGAAGAAAGCGAAATGGACCTGTGTGCAGTGGTGCAAGGGCTGTGGGACCATGATGTGAATCGACTGCAGCCTGGGAGGGATTACAGCATCTCTCTGCAGGCGAGAAGCCAGGAGCTGCTTTACTGACCTTTTTAACCGACTGCTTTCTTTGTTGTGCTTTTCTCTAGCGGTCAGTCAGAAGTCTGAGTCGTATATTCGGAAATCCATTACCATTCCAACCATTCCATGGCCGTTATTATAAAAGAAATCATGGAAACTTATCATGTGATACATTTATGGCGCTTAAAAAATGATTAGGTAACCTTGTGTATCAGGCTGTCCCGGGGGTGGATAGAATCGAGGGATTCTCCTACGTGCAGGAACAAGTTGCACCAAATGCTGTTTTTCTTTCATGGAAACAAACTACAGAATTAGACTATATCTGGTACCTGTGCACTGATTTACCCCAAGTTACACTGATGTCCCGTGATTTACCCTTCTTTTCAATGATTTACCCTGATTTACACTAATGTATCATGCTCTACACTGATTTACACAAATTTATCCTGATTTACATGAATCTACCCTGGTTTACACTGATTTACATGAATCTACCCTGATTTACACTGATTTACATGAATCTACCCTGATTTACACTGATTTACATTAATCTACCCTGATTTACACTGATTTACATGAATCTACCCTGGTTTACACTGATTTACATTAATCTACCCTGATTCACTACCCTGATTTACACTGATTTGCCCTGTTTTACATTGCTTCCCACATGGGGCCTCAAGGGAAGAGCTGGGGATGCAGTGACCACCAATGATGACAATGACACAGCTCATTCACCCTTATTCCTGTTTGTGAATGAAGAGATTTTCCAAAGGGAGACATTTCTAGGTAAGGTATGAGGGGGTGGTGAAGGCTGTCAGCTGTGGGTGGCCTTGTCACCGCCCCATAAGCCAGAAGGGTTCTACCTTCCAGCTTTCATCTCGTTACTTGACAACTACGAGAGTGACACAGGAGAGCCTGAGGTCGTGACTCCTGAAGAGATAGCCGAAAACCACAGGTTCCTCGATGCCGTTATGGACACCGCAGTCATGAAGGTGTGGTAACCCAGTATCTCTTCAGTGTGAAGTGCAGCGTGAAGGAACCGGGCAGATTTGTAAGAACACGGCTGAACTCATATTCCATACTTATCTTAAGATGGGCGTTTTCTTAAATCTTTGTTACAGATTGCTCACAAGTACCTTGCAGAGAGAAAACTCTCTCCCACAGACACTGAAGAATTTAAGCGACAGCTTTATCATATCTGGTTTGAACTATATGCCAGAAAGGGATCAAGCAGGTATGTGAAAATTATAAACCTTTTTTTCCTAAGGGCCAGGTTTCTCATACTGCATGTCTGAGCCACAGTTAGATGCATTCTCTTAACAACTAAAGATTTTTAATGCGAGCAAAAGAAAATAAAAACCAAAATATGAGTGGATAATTATGGTTTTTGGATTTTTAATTTTCCATCCCAAAAGGAAAAAAAGAAGATAATATACAGTGGCATGCAAACTTGAGTGCCCCATGTCAAAATTTATTGCGAATATAGCTAAACAAGTAAAAAAATGACCTGGTTTCCAATATTTTAAGCAAGATTACTTCCTTAACTTCCATATTCTATAGTTTCACCTTGCATTAGTAACATCCCCTTTGGAGAGTATCACAGCTCGTAGATGCTTTTTGTAAACAGCTACTGTAAGAGTCATTCAGTTCTTGTTTGGGGGATTTTCACTAGTTCTTCCTTGCAAAAGACTAATTGTATGAGATTCTTGAGCCATTTTGCATGCACTGCTCTTTTGAGGTTTATCCACAGATTTTCAATGATGTTTAGACTGTGAAGGCCATGTCTAAACCTTCAAGCTCACGCCTCTTGAGGTGCTCCATTGTGGATTCTGAAGTGTATTCAGGACCATTATCCTGTTGTAGAAGCCATCCTATTTACGTCTTCGCTTTCTTCCCGCAAACAATGTGATGTTTGCTTTCGGAATTTGATAGTGTTTAACTGAATCTGTTCTTCTCTTTACCACTAAAATGATTCCCATGCCCCTAGCTGCAACAGAAGCCCAAAGCATGATCAACCCACCCCCACGCTTAACAGCTGGAGAGGTGTTCCTTTCATGAAATTCTGCAACCGTTTTCTCCAAACATACACTATATGGACACATCTCCTAATCATTGAATTCAGGTGTTTCATTCAACAGCCTCTTCGGTTTTACGTCACTGTCATTCTCCCAACCCCAAGCCAACTCTTCTGCAGTGGAAAACCAAAGCAAGCTGGAACTGAGCTGTAACTAGTCTCTCTTCGCAGTACGGCTCGGGTACGGCCTGGTTCCTGTATGCCAGTGGAAAAGCTCCGTAAAAGTTCATGGAAGAGTTCTGACTCCATCCTCTGTCCCTAAGACCAGATTCCTCTGGGTTTGAGCATGTGTTTGTTGGAGAGACTCGTGGCGGCCACACAGTAATTGGATTCCACAACTGGATCCAGCTGTACCTCCAGGAGCGGCTGGGACATATTGACTACAGGGGATATAGTTTGGATGCAGACTCCCCAGAAGTAAGCAACTCCCTGCTTTTCGATTTAAACGACAACTTCTGCTGTTTACCAGTGTAATCCCATTAATCTTAAAAGTTGTATGGTACATACAGCACCAGCCAAAAGTTTGGACACGCTAAGCCGCCTACAATGGAGGCTGATAGAGTGTCGCATCACATGACCTGGCCTCCTGGCCCAAACACAGTAGCCATGCTTTTGGAGGAGTTTGACCAGAAAGTGAAGGAAAATCAGGCAATGTGTGCTCAGCGTGTATGTGGGACCTCCTTCAGAACAGCTGGAGAAACATCCCAGGAGGTCACCTCATGAATCTTGTATAGAGGAGAAAGTAGAGTCAGCCAGTGCCTGGAGCTATTGGAATTGGGGTAAAGGGCCTTGCTCAAGGGCCCAGTGGTGGGATCACTCTGCCAACCCAGGGATTTGAACCAGTAACCTTCTGAGTACTAAACCACAGAGCTGCTCCCCCCCTTCAACAAGTAATGTTTTTGTTTAATACTTCTTTGGTCAGTGCATAATTCCATATATGCTATTTTTTAATTTTGATGTCTTTATAATTATTATGTTGGAAAAAGTACAAATAAACCTTTCTGTAGGTAGGTCTGGAACCTTTTACTGGTGTTGTATGTTACAAGGGTAAGTTTAACTTCCAGCACTTTCTAAATGCTATCAACTATCAATGACATTAAATGGACTTACGTAATTGCATTCGTGAATTTTTTATTCTTCTAAGCTGTTAAAACTGGACTTTGGCCGTGGTACATATGATCAGACTGCAGTTTATAGCACCTTGTGGTGAAAGTCTGAACAGGTATCAATGTAATAAAGTACAGTGATATAATGGCATGGCAGTCCAGGATGGAGATTGTTGTTGAGAAGCATTTATGCAGGGTTGCTCATTCTGAAATACAGTTTTCATTTCCTCTTCTTCATCAAGCCTGACGAGAATAAACACATGCTGTCCCTGCAGTTCAGCTGGAAGAGCGGGATGAAACCGAAGGGCAGCATCTTTATGGGCGTCAGCCCCGAGTTCGAGTTGGCCATGTACACCCTCTGCTTCCTGAGCTCACGCCACGAGAGACTCAGGGTGTCCTTTAGCCTTTATGAGGTTGACATCGTGTGTCACCACCACAATCACACGCACATCGGCACCACGTATCCTGTCCTCATCAGATACAGGTCCACCTGACCAACTTAGGCTAAAGGAAATCTTAGTGTGGAGAGTCTTTTCTTTTGTGTTATTTTAAATCATAATAAAACTTACAAAACTTTTGTGTGTGATACAGAAATTTATTTGTGTGTATCTTTTTGGGCATTTGATACACACAATAACAGTGCTGTGCAAAACTCAAAAATGATGTTTACATGATCTTCGTGTTGGTGTAATATATAATTTCATATATGATATAAATTCTGACAAAGTGTGTTACTTTAACCATTCCATAACCTCTCCTAAAGTCACCCCAGGTTTTGCAGCAACCGTTAGCAGCAACCACTAGTGCATCTTTTGTGGTTTATTTAATACCTCGCTGACTTTTAACACTAATTCAATTAATTAAGAGAGCTGGTGGTGAAATTTAACAAATACGTAGAACGACTGGGGTGTTCCTGAGGTAGGGTTTGGGAACCAAAGCAGTGTTCTTCCAGCCGTCCAACAAAAAAAAAACTTTTTGGCGAACAGAAGAAATTCTTGTTGTTTTTCTTAATTTGCATATGTTCTGATGTTACATTATTTTTTGTCTGAAATAATATACATTTACCACCCACATAAGTAGCTTAATGCTTTTTCTTCTGTAGATTACTATTAGTCAATTTATCCCTCTGACTGTAGGCAACACATTCCTTCTTTCCTACCATCCATCCATCCGCCTTATCCAGTATAGTAACAGATGCTTAAGAATTCCCTGAAGGAAGAAAAAACAGCTTTGAAATCACCCAGAAAGATTTTATTGTTGGCATTATTGTACATTGAAACCGGATATCTTGCAAGAGTGAATGGTGAGGAACAGGATATCACGTCCAAGCAGCGGCACGCCGCCAGCTTTTGCAGCCATTATTGTTGTTGTCCTCACACGGAGAGCGGGGCTGCAGGGGAGGAGCGCCGCATCTCACTGCGCAGACAGTCAGCGGCCCTCAAGCTCTAAATTCGCTCGCTTTCGGGATAGGATCGCAGAGGCCTCGAGCCTGAGAAACAATGACGGAGCCAAGCGGCAGATACCGGCAAGTAAGTTACCCTGTGCGGCGGCCGGGAAGCGGGGCCGCATTCGGTGATCGCGAGGCGGTGCGCTGCGCAGGAAACGGCCAGGATCGGCCTCGGAGATTAGGCCTTAATGTTTTCGTTGGTGGAGTTTTCTTTAACATGCTGTCGGCAACTTCCGCTAGTCCGCTTTGTAGTGTTTTCTGTTTAAAACGTGGGTCTTGATGCGGTTTAAACCCGATGGTTATTTATTTAGAAACCCCAATGCCGAGCTAGTTCGTTAGACGTTCGGTGGATCTTGGATTTGATCGGACTCTGTCAGTATGTCTAATGAGTCCATATTCGGGACGTCACACGAACTGCCATTCAATTAGTCACGTTTATTTTTGTCCTGCATAAACATAAATAACGCAAGTAACCCGACATAACCTGTTTTCCTGGTATTTTTTTTACTGCGTATTACATTAGATCTTTAATAAACGTAGTTGTCTCATTGTTATGTAAGGCGGCAAACATTTCCCCTACCTGAAAGGCAAGCAAGTCTGGTGTTTTTCCAGTAAAACTAAATCGTTAGCTAGTGGTACATATTTACCTTTCGTTTAGCAGTGATTTGGCTCCTATTTAATGTGTCAGAATGGCCTTTTCTCCGCCCGTCTCGGTCGTACCTTTCAGTCACTAAGCAGCGTCTCGCGGCGACCCCGTCATTCAGACCACGTGACGGTCAGGGGGCAGCGTGGCACTGCCCTGTCCGAACAATAACTGCGTCCTGCGCGGCTTTTCAGACCTCAGACGGCGTGTTGCCGTTAAGCCCGGAGCGAGCAGCGCACTGGCAGCCCGTCTTTGCATTGCCGCTTCCCACTTGTTTTCACTATGATCCCCCACAAATTCGATCTTTTCCGAGGAAGCGATTGTGTGCCAGCAGGTGAGGCCTGTGGGGCAGACTCTTAGGGTTAGGTGTTGGTGTAATGCTGGTATCCAGTGTCACTGCTCCCAGTGTCTGATGGCAGCTAACTAGTGCAACAGCTAGTTGCCTCTGCTCATTTGTAAAGTCTGCCTGAATACTGGATTATATGGTTTTAATGAAGGCCATTATAAGTGATAACTAATAAATATAATGACCAGTTTAATCATTTATTAAGTACATTCAGAACATTGTGACACATCATCATTAATATTCCTGTTGGTTAATGCCCCAGTGTATGAGGTCACCAGCAGAGGTTACATGAGGAGACTGCTTTGTTGCCAGTAGCTGCAGTGTCACTGTAGGATGACCATGCGAAATGGTGGACGGTGGAATGACTTCTTTGGACATCTGCACCGTGTGCCTTTGCGCACGGCTGCTTCACAGGGGACTCTGAGCTTTCTCGCTGGCTGATCCTGTGTGCCTCCACAGCTGACAGACGAAGAGGAGCCAGGGGAGGGTGTCCCGGGGACCACTGATGCCCCACCCCCCTACAGCAACGTCACAGCACCCAATGCAGGTGAGACTGCTGCAGCGCCGATGGTGCTCCCGACTCTCCCTGAGGCGCGGCCGGTAACCTGGGGGCTTTTCCTGTTTGGGGAAGCCAGTCACCTGGCTCTGTAATGGTCGGTCGATCTGTGAGGCTCTAGTGAGTCACAGACAATGGTTTGTTGCTCGACTGGGGCTGTAAGTCAGCCTGTTGCTGCCCTTAGGGCCTTGTGTGTGCGCTAGGCTGTGTGACTGTCCATCCCACATCCTCACTACTGCGGGTCACGGGGAAGAGGGCAGCACCGGTGGGCAGGTACTCTGCAGGTCTTCCTGTGATCCTTATCGTGACTTTGACCCTCCTGTGACTTAATTTATTTTGTATGCCCTCCCAGCTTATTTTGAGTTCAAAGAAGATGGGTCCTTCCCTAAACCTCCCTCCTACCAGGTGGCCACATCACTCCCGTCCTACGACGAGGCGGAGCGAACCAAAGCGGGAGGCAGCGTCCCGCTCGTCACTGCCAGGGTGAGCTTGGAGGCCCGAGTGTCGCGTCACTGTGGGCTGGGATCGTAGAGGGCGCCGTTTTCCCTTGACATGCCCTCTCCCTCCTCCGCCTCGAGCGCTTGAATGTGAAGACGATGTTGGTAGGTTGGACGGGTTGGTTAGGCCTCTGTGCCTGTCATCGGAAGATCACCAGTTTGAATCCTGTCCTTGGAATAGTCACGTCTCTGGGGGGCTCTTGAGCATGGCCCCTTACCCTGTCGTCCCCAGAAAAATGCTCTGGGGGGGAGCCAGATTAATGTCTGACCCTGTGCTCTGAAGAGAAACGAGGGCAATATGTATAAAGTAAAGCATTCCAGTGTACCTGTACTCAGTACAGTGCAAATGAAGCATCATTTAATTCATTCCGAACCCTCTGCAATAGCTGCCTGCTCCCCGTCGTCTCGTTTTACTCGTTGTCTCTTTGCCGCCCTTGCACTGCTCACACGCAGCACAGCGAACGTCTGGATGCTTCTGAGGACATAACACTCCGTTACGTAGAGGTATGCTGACAGAGTGCGTGTGTTGTGTAGCCGGCCCCAAGCACGTGGCCTGCACAGTGTGGAAGCAGGGCAGCATCCAATGTGGACATAGGCAAGCAGAGGCCACGCCCCTTCCCTCTGTGGCAAGCAGAGGCCACGCCCCTTCCCTCTGTGGCAAGCAGAGGCCACGCCCCTTCCCTCTGTGGCAAGTAGGGGACACGCCCCTTCCCTCCCCCAGAATGTCAAACTTAAATAGCAGTAAACTTTCTCTCCTGAACACTGGGCACAGTAATGGCCCGTCTGGGCTGTGTCTCTGGCCAGGCACCAAGTGACACCAAAATAAACCTCTGGTAATATTGAGCCCGGTAGCCAGTATGGCCGCCTCTTGGGGTGCCTTGCTCTGTGGGTCCTGCAGGCCACTTGCAGACGGGTGTCAGCTTGTGTGTGACTGGCTGTGAGGTCAGCACAAGCTCTTGTACGCAGCAGGTGGACGAGCAGAGAGCAGCTCAGACCGGCTGATAACCTTTGTGTGAGTTACTTTGAGCTGAGCTCCTCTCTGAGTCAAACCGCTGCATAGAAGCTCTAAGATACCTTTAGAGTTTGATTTAGATTCAGGGTCACAATCGTCATTCTGGTGTAGGACTTGCCAGCATCTCTCCCCCCCTCTACAGGATGATGACTTTGCCGCCAGGGACGACTTTGATGACGCCGACCAGCTGCGGATAGGGAACGACGCCATTTTCATGCTGACTTTCTTCAGTGAGTCTGAGCGACTTTGAACCTTGTTCAGTGTGAGTGTGGTGACTGCAGGGGCAGAGAAGAGTGGGTCTCGGAGGCTGCAGTTTATTTAGGCTGGCCAGTATCGCTTATGCATGCGCTGTGTGTGCACCGGCCCTCTAGTGGACAACTGATGCCAGTGTGGAAAATTCCATTTCAATAAGAAGGACAATGAGTAAATGCGTGAAGAAAACAGCAGGGTTTAGCCATGACACTGAATTTATAGGGAGGTGTAAGTAAGCACAGTGTAACTAATGACCCCCCCTCTCCCCCCCCCCAGTGGCATTCCTCTTCAACTGGGTGGGGTTTTTCCTGTCCTTCTGTCTGACCACATCAGCAGCGGGACGCTATGGTGCCGTGTCTGGGTTCGGGCTGTCGCTCATCAAATGGATCCTGATCGTGAGGGTGAGATGGTGGGCGATGGGGGCTGGGTGTGGATGCCCCTCCCCCCTCATTTGAAAGCTCTTGACACTTTTATTTTCGTTTCCCAGTTCTCCACATACTTTCCCGGGTACTTTGACGGCCAGTACTGGCTGTGGTGGGTGTTCCTGGTGCTTGGTGAGTTAAGCTCACGGCGTCTGTGCTGTGTGGTCGCCGTGACCCCGTCACTCCGTGGTGCCATCCAGTGCGCTGGTGAACACGCCGTGTTTCTTCCCCCAGGACTCCTGCTTTTCCTCAGGGGATTTATCAACTACGCCAAGGTGCGGAAAATGGCTGATTCCTTCTCCACACTGCCCCGAACTAGAGTCCTCTTTATCTACTAAAGGTATGTCAGGAACTGGTCTGTAAGGTGTAGTAGACAGGCTGCGTTACCCTGGATGGAGGACCATGCATCTGTTTCTCTGTTATTCTGTTGCAGGTGCTTTTTGTAACCATTTTTCTTGCTTTTATTATTCAGGGAACATGGAAGAAGCGGAGTCCCACTAGGAAGCTCTGAAAATCCTACAGCAACCTTCTGGATCTCTCCGAGATAGACCACTGATTCCCAGAGGGATCAGCACTTCAAATGTCATTCCCCCCCCCCAATACTTTCTATGTTTGTAGATGGAATAATTTACTAGTGGATGCTGAGAATTCTATTGAATCGTTAGTGGCTAATGTTAAGTGCTACTTCAAAACGAGTCTGTGATGTACGAATAATGCCGTATGATCTCTATACAATTAGCATGCATTATCCCTTTGTCGGCCAATAGAGGGCGCATGGTCATTATTTTCTGTCTTAAAATGCATGTAATCTGGTGCCGCCGTTGCTCAGGCGACTGATGACGAGTCACTGCAGGGGCGGGGGTGGGGGTTATCCTTGGTCCACACAGTGGTTTGCACTTTCCTGTGCTTTAAGGCTGTTGGCCTTAAAGCACTGATTTCTTATACAAGTTGTAAATTTTGAAATGGCTCTTTCTAGGAATAGTTTGAAATACAATTTAAATTTTTTTGGGTGAACTTATTGCACAGAAGATTGTCAAGCGCGCGTGTGTGTGTGTATGTGCGTGCGTATTTTCCGCCGTCCAGATAAGGCGGCTGGGCGCCGGACCTGCTCCTGGTGCATGGGATCGGCTCGCCTCAGGTACAGCGAGATGATCAGGCCTGTCTGCAGAGTCGGACGCCCACCCGCCAGTACTCGCTGGGGCAGGGAGCATGCAGCCGTCCTGTGAACTGGAGCAGCTCATCCCACTGGGCCGGACACCCAGGGCACCAAAAACTTTGCGTACTTTTCTCACCTTTTAATTAACACAGAAGCTGCAAGACCCCTTTTAACAAAACATGTGACCAGTAAATTCTGTCTTGAAGGTGTTTGATATTTCATACCCTTTGTTCTGATCTTGGGCGGCCTGTGTTTTACCTGTGATGGGAGAGTGCCTTGTTTCCGAAGAGCACCACGATTGTAAGAGTTAAATGGTGAAACAAACGTGAGCAAGACTGTAAATACCGATATCTCTAATAAATGTCACTTCTGTCCGTGCGCGGTGTTATTGCTAACGTCAGTGTGATCACTGGTGAGCTGATGTGGGTACTTGTTCGAAGAAATTGGTTTACTATTATTTCATTAAACTATCAAAATTAATATAAAAAGAAACCTTGAAATTTCTGGCTCGAGTGCCGCTGCACCATAAAACAGGATTTCAGTGAAGCTGTAAATTATATTCTAGTTATACACGTTCATCTCTGCGTGGAAATTAGTTAACTGACATTTTTAGTGCGTTTCGAACAGTTTTGTCAGGTTTTGCTCCTCCATCCGGGACTTTGTCTCGGCTTTGTTACGCAGTACCTCTTCGCCGCCACTGGAGGGAGCGCTATCCCTGCTCTTGCAGCACTGCCATAATCCCTCCGCCTGGTCCACGGGAACGTGCCGGCGGTCTCTGCCCGGTTGGAGTCTCGCTGGAGGGGGCCGCGGCTGGGTGAGACTGTTAGGCTCAGGGTCAGGTTTACGTTTTGCTGGACGGTGCGCTGAGCAGAGGCGTTGTCGCGCGTCTTCTGGGCGTCGCGGGTCTATTCACTGGATCCTGGCCGACTTTAGGGCGTTGATGACTTACTTAAACATAAAATTGACCGTTTTATGCGGATGTGTGCGGGACGTCTTCCTACAGCAGAGCTTCCACTAATGTTATTGGTTCTCCTGTTGAAAATCCACTGGGGTATCATGGTGACGTCGCCGTTATCTGCAGCTACTAATTTAAGTTCAGTTCAGCCGACCTGGCGGTTCCTGACCGAGAGCAGTGAGAAGATTTTCCCTCTTCTTTATTAATCGGGGCAGGTAAATTAATGAAGTTTGTTGCTGGCTTGACACTTTTATTCTCAGTGATTTACGACTGTCACCCGTTTGTTCAGCTGCACATTTTACTGGAGTCATTTAGCGCCTGGCTCAGGCATACCCTGGTGGGGGGTTTGACCCCGCAACCTTCAGGTTATGAGGCAATTTCCTCAAACACTATGGTGTCTGCCACCCCCAAGCCCACCCCAATAATGTTTTTGTCTACTGTATACCTTCTGTGTACTCCTAGGCAGGGGTGCCATAAGGCGGGGGGGGAAGTTAGGACAACTCCAAGGGCCCCTGACTGACAGGGGGCCTAGAAAATTTGGAAAATGTCTGGACTGGGGGGCCTGATATGATATGCCTTCATGGGGCTCAAAATCTCTAGCAACACCCCTGCCCCTAGTATCCAGTATGTTTTGGTTGTGCTTTTGTAGATTGGCAGTTTGCTTTAGGAAAAATTAGAACACAGAGTTAATGTTATGAATCATTTTCTCCTGGGAGCATCCCATCAGGAGGGTCCTTCTGTCAGGGGAGGGAACGGGTACCTGCCGAGCCAATGTGTGTCTGTGGTGTGTCAGGTCTGGGGCTCGTGTGGACAATGGAGGGAGGGAAATTGAAGGTGGTGTTACAGAGGCACAATGAAGATGCAGCTCCGATTCCATCCCAGTGTTTGCCGCATACCCGGCCAGGCAGAAGCCAGGTGTGACGATTTGTCAGCTGTCCTGCAGGGGGCGTGGGTGAGTCAGCTGTCTGTCAGGCTCTGCCTCACTGCTGCTGACTTCAGTTTTTCTGCCGATGTTGGGAAATCCGCCCATCCGTCTTCCAAACACTTACTTAGTATGGGGGGAGACTGGAGCCTGTTCCAGACAATCAGCAGAGGGCACAAGGTGGGGCACATCCTGGGCAGGATGCCAGTCCATCACGGGGGGGACACTGGCCAATCTAGAAGTTCCATTTCACCTAACTTTATATTTGCATTTATTTAGTAGATGCTTTCATCCAAAGTGATGTACATTTTTATAGACAGAAAGCAGGATTATGCATCCCTGGAGTGAAGGATTATGGGCCTCGCTCAGGGGTCCAACGGTGACATCACTCTGCTGACCCTGGGATTTGAACTGGTGACCTTCAGATCAATGACACAGCTTGTCTTTGGACTGTGATGAGAAGCTGGATTTCCCAGAGGAAACTCGGGTATCACGGGTTAGAACATGAGACCTGCAGACATAGAACAAGGGTGGGATTGCAGCCTCAGCCTGGGAGGCCTGATGTGTCAGTACTGCCAAGCATGTCAGGGCAGTATAATGATAAAGAATCAGGAAATAATCCTGTTTCTGTAACTCTTTTCAGAAAAACTTCTGGGACAAGGGTCCAAATACACAAAGCTATTTACTTTCAGAAAAAATGTGCATTAGAATCTCGGTTGATCAGTATTGAAAAAAAAACCTACCTCAATTTAAGCAGCCAGCTCCACAAAGAAAAAGTGAAACGTCTCAGTTATATCAGCAGTGAGGGGTTATTGCTCTTTAATGATTAATCTCTGGTTGCATTAGTCTTTAATGATTAATCTCAGGTTGCATTAGTCTTTAATGATTAATCTCTGGTTGCATTGATCTTTAATGATTAATCTCTGGTTGCATTGATCTTTAATGATTAACCTCTGGTTGCATTGCTTGCATCAGTTTTCCCTGGATTGTCACACCTTAACACCGTCGTGTTACCTCCGGGGATCACCCTGGTACTTGGCTGCTCTCTTCTCCCAGGAACAGAGCCAGAACGCGACGGACGGCAGGGCTGGCTGTGAGGCTCATGACTCAGTGATAGTACGCGCCTGGGGTTGGGGGAGCAGGCCACTCCCTCAGGGAAACGGTCTTTAGGCACGTGTCTGTTTATTTTCCATCCCTCCCCCAAGCCTGTCGACACGCTATCGTGAGGTGCTGTCTGCTTCCTTTTGGTGGGGGTCTCCTGTCACCTCAGTGACAATTGGCTTGTGTTTTCACATCTTTAAGGGTCCGTGTGAGGCTTGTGGGGGTGTGGGGTGTCATTGTGCGTGGGAGGGCTTTCCTGAGTAAACGCTGCACTGGCGTCCTGCTGCCTGATTCACCTGGATGAGCAGCAGTGAGTCATGGAGGGCCTGTTTTTAGCGTGCAGGGGGGGGGGAGCTCAGCTCTGTGCTACATGCGCCTTTTCTCCCAGGTCAGCAAAAGCGTCCTGCCCTCCTTTTGCTCGCTGTGGAGATCAGGGGCATCAGCCTCTGCACCCGGCCTGTGTGCTTCGTAGGGTTCTTGTTAGGGTGCCGTAAGGTGCTGAGTGGGGGTGTTGGGGGCGGTCACAGAGCTCCGGGTGATGCGCTGCGTCTCCATGCTGCACAGATAAGCAGCCTGTTTCTGACTCACACTGCCTGGGGGGGGGGGGTCACTTCCTACCCGTGTCAGTTGACCTCCTTGGCTAAGTGACCCACATACTGCAGTAATGCATGAGTTGAAGCAGCCCCCTTGCCCCGCTTCCTCTGTTTCTATGTATCTTTCTGTTCCTCCCCCCCCCCCCCCCCCGTCTCTCTCTCTCACTCGTTCTTGCCCGCGTTCCGTAACTTCATTCACTAGCTGTATGAATGAATCCCACTCGCCCTCCCCAAAGTGAGTGCAGTGTGCAGTGACACCAGCACGTCACTGCGCGCAGGGAGAGGGGGCTGATGGGAAGGACGGGCCGTGGGTGACCTCATCCCGTGTGCCACATGGAGGCAGCTGTTGTGGGGGGCCGCTCTGTGTGTCTGTGCTTGTACGGCACGCGTGAGCGACGTCCACACGTATGTCGTATGTGAGCATGTGCTCCAGCCCGCAGTGTGTGAGGAATGCGGCTTGGGGGTGCAGACGGCGTGGGGGGGTGGGCTGTACTTGAGCAGGAAAAGGCAGAATGTTATTCACCAGCCGCTCAGATAACGGGCTGGTCGGGAAACACGCTTCAGCTCTGTTTACATTTCTCTGCTTCTTGTGTCTTCAAAAATTCATAATTCACTGTATATTCGAAATAATTTCACTGTTTAGTTGCCCAGCTGTTGTAGAGAGGTTTTTATTCAGTGACAGAATTGGCTGTGGGGCATTTCATGTCCTTGGGGGGTGGGGGGGGGGTGCTGCTGGAGCACAGTGTGATTCAGCTCTCCTGCGTCTGTGGGGGGGCGGGAAGCTCAGCCCCATCAGTCATGGGGGGCCGAGTCGTCGGCCAATGAGCTCTGTCGTCTCATCCTCCCCCACACCCTGTTCTATAATTAGACACACACTTTGTTGATTTCCTGTTATTGATCAGAAAAGGCATTCTCTGGAGACATATTCGACTGAGGAAGCTGTGGGGGAAGTGAAGGGGATTGAGTGTTACCCTGGGGGGGGAGGGGTACTCAGCAAGACATGGAGGTGTCCCACTGGCTGGGTCTGCAGAGTGTCTGGCTACTGCCAGGGTTTGTGGTCTTGTTATGGTGTAGACATCCCTGCTGGTGGTCACATTTCAAATGGCTCCGCTGCATTTCTACTCTGCCTGCGACACCAGCAGCACACGTGTGTCTCTGTGTGTGCGTGTTACCGCGTGTGTCTGTGCGTGTGCATGTCACCGCGTGTGCCTGTGCGTGTCACCGCGTTTGTCTGTGCGTGTGCGTGTCACCGCGTGTGCCTGTGTGTGTGCGTGTCACCGCGTGTGTCTGTGCTTGTGCGTGTCACTGCGTGTGCCTGTGCTCCTATCACCTCCCTTTCACAGTTCCAGGCCAGTGTGTGTTGATTAAGTCAATATTTGCTTGGAAATGTCTCGCTCACTGGCCAGAAATAAGTGTTCAGTGCGACTTCCCGCCCAGAGGAACTCTGCTGCACCGTAAAATAGCACAGTGACATTTGCCCAGTCCTTCAACAGTCCTTCAGGCCTGCAAAACCTTTTCAGGGGACATGTTGTGTTTTTGAAGTCACCCTCACAGTGGGAATATCAGGCACACGACGTTTCCCAAAATATGCAGGGGCTGTGACTTCACTGCACTCTGGCTCTGAATGCGGCATCTTAGAGCTTCAGATGGACAGCCATGGATGGGCTGACATCTCCGGCTTCTCCTCTGCTGCAGCTGGAATGGAAATAAAGTTCTTACTTATCGCTGGAAATCACCCGTTGCTGGGATTCCTAGTCCTTCACTCAAAACATCATGAGGTTCAACAAAAAGCGAAATGTCAGCATGT